TAGTTAAAAATGTCCTCGAGTGGCTTCTCTATTTCTCTCCCTTTCTCACTTAAAAACCCAAGGGAAGCTCTGTTCTCAAGTCTTGCTTAGGCTGTTTTTAATAAGTGGCATAAACTTCCCCCAGAGATCCAGGGGGCTCTCAGGCCTTGCCTCTGTTAGATCCTCTTTGTCTACAGTTATCTTCTCAGTGATCCCTGCCATAACCACCTTATTTATAGAAACACCGTCAGCCTCCCAGCAGGGCCGGCCTTTCTTCTATGTGCTATCTAACTTATCATTTACATCCCCTGTTTATTGTGATTATCAATCATATGAGCACCATGAAGGCAAAGATTTTTATCAAGTTGCTCTTTCCTTAGATTCTAAAAGAGTATTTGGCCCATAATAGGTTCTCAATAGGTATACATATCCCAAAGGTCACGTCTAAAGTCATCATATATAGGAAAAATGGGAAACTGTAGCTAAATGTACCTTTAGTTACAAATATTCATTACAATATTTTACAAAGAGGTGCTCAATGCATAGAGAATGTTTTATTTTTTTACAGTAGCCTTTATTTTTAATACCTGTTATGCCTTCAATTCATAGGGAAAAGGTTCCAGCAGCTCAGGAAGGGGCCTTCCCATTGACTGTGACAAAGCTTGCTATGCCTGTGATGCCATGAATTCACAGGGAATGGGTTCCAGCACTTTATGCTCCTGCTCGACTTGTTCTCTTGGTTCTCCTGCGTGTTACACTGTAGACCTTACTATGCCATGGGTTCATGGGGAATAACTTCCAGCACCTCATGTTCCTATTCCATTGGTTCTCTTGGTTCTCTGCATGCTATGCTGTATGCCTTTTATGCCATGAATTCATAGGGAATGGGTTCCAGGAGCTCAGGCTGGTTCTCACTAAGTGAGCTTCTCTGGGTAGAGCAGGCAGGTGCTTCCGTTGGACCCAGGTGCCTTTCTTTTTGGCTTCCTTCTTTCCCTGGTCATTTTCCTTCATGCATTTTAGGAAGCTCTCTCTGCTCTTAGAATACTTAATATGCTCAAACGAACATTAATGCTTCTCGTTTGTTTGCAACAATGCCAACAGCATGTTGTATAACACTGTAGACCAGGGGTCCTCAAAAATTTTAAACAGGGGGCCAGTTCACTGTCCTTCAGGCCATTGGAGGGTTGGACTGCTGGCCCCGGGAAGAGTCAGCTGCTAAGCAGGACAGGCAGCGGCAGCAAAAACACCTGGCAGGCCGGATAAATGTCCTAGGCAGGCCGCATGTGGCCCATGGACCATAGTTTGAGGAGGTCTGCAGTGTAGACTCCTTCAGTTCTGCCATGGTCACATCTGTGTGGCATGTCTTTTGAACAGGACCCATTCCCTTGATGTCTACAATATCACCTTTCTGGTAGGTTCACATCTATATGGCCAAAGGAACAATTCCACGTTTTCTAAAAGGCCTAGAGAACATGTATCAGCTGCCTCTCCTCTCTCTTTGCCCTCATCATTTTGGTGAATTACTGGAAGATGGTATCTCTGGCCAAAAGGCTGGTAGAAAATATTTTTTAACTATTTTGTAAAATTTTATAATTAATATTTTGCAACTAATGGTACATTCCGCTACCATTTCCCGTTTTCCTTATGTTTTGGGACACCATCTATTTCTTAACTAAAGAAATGAAGCCAGGACTCCTGTTTAATACTAGACAGATAATGTGTGTGGCATGGACAAAACATTTTCTATGTGCAAAAAACAGTTGCCAGTGTACAGATAGAAAACTCATCTCGGAAACATGGTGCACTATCCGCTTAATCACTGCAAACAAGAGGGAGAATAAAGGAGTCATCAACTACTTATTCGTTCAGACTCAGCCAAAAATTTGATTACAAAAGGTGGTAAGAAAAAGGCAGTGGATGGGAGATGAAAACACAGGTGAAAATCCAGTTGAAAACCTGAAGGAAAGAGCCCAAGAGACCACATTTAAGCTGCGTCCTAAATGAGGGAGATGTCTCACGCACGTTTGACTGTTCAACATCAGATCAAGCAATTTTAGGAGATGTCACTCAGTCATCCCAAGAAGGAAAGTGAGGTGTGAATAGCCTTGGTTCAAATTAATACCTTAGGAAACATCAGCTTTACAAGATAATGTAAATTGCTTTTAGATATACTTGTATTTGATCCTTTCAAAATACACGAAATGAGAAGATTAAAATGACAGAAAATTTTTATTCCCTTCTATTTTGCTTATAACTTCATTTTGTGGATTAAGTGGCAGGTTATTCTCACCAAGATATAGATTCTGACGGTTAAAGGACACCTGTATTTTTTGGAGAGAAAAACAAAACAAAACTCCATTCTGTGTCTACTCTTCCATAGATGAAGCCCCTAGATGGCTTTGTCTCCAAGGAACTTAGTCTAGATGAATCCAAATCCCTCAGTTAATGTGATCACCTAAGTTTAGTGACTCCTTAATTCAATACGAGAAACATCACCTCCCTATTAAACTGGAGATCATTCCAAAAGGATTGGGTGATGAAAGCCAAAAATCATAGAGATTTTAAATCAATTTATACTATAAAACCTAAGTAACTGTCAGAAAAAAATAGTTCCTACACATTTTGAGATCTCTTGGAATAAGATAAGGAGCACAGTTTCTATTTAATGTAAAATCTTTTGCTCTGCCAACTAGAGCTGGCCACCAGGGCATGGGTGTTATTTAGAGGACCCCTGCATGGGGTGGAAGGTTGGGCTAGATCAGGCAGGGTGAGGTGACTCATAAGATCCTTTCTAAAACTAAGATTTTTCAAATCCTATTATTTTATTTGGAGATAATATAATTACTTTAATTTCCTCGAGTCCCATTTTTCTGCTTGACTATGTACTCTCTTAAATCAGCTTATTGACATGGGAGAGTGAGACTAATAACTGTCAGGATGACAGATTAAACTTTCAAACTACAGGCTTGTAATAGTTTTATGTGAATATGAGATGGTAATAGCAAGTAATAATTCTGTAGCACTTTACATTTTACAAAGCACTTGCGGGTCCATTATTTCATTTGATATTTCCTCAGCTCTGTGATTCAGTTATTATTATCAAAGCTCATTCACTGATAATGAAATGAAATTCAGAGATTCCTCAAGACACACAGCCAGTCAGTTGTAGCCTTAGGAATCAGACCGGGGTCTTCAGATCCCTGTTCTCTGTACAACAACACAACGATTTCATTTGCCCTCATCTGTCACCCACCAAGAAAAGCAGCATCGTGAGGGAGAAATATTGTTGTTATTCCTTTTTCTACAGATAAAGTCACAAAGATAGGAAGTGATAGAAAGGGGAATTAAATCTGGGCATCCTGCCTAAAAATCTTGTGTTCTTTCATCTATAATGTGTAGTTTTATTGATGTTTGTGATATAAGGAAGACTTAAAAAATCTGAAGGCAGCCGTTGAGGACAGTGAATCAGGAGGAGAGAGGATGGAATCCAGGCTCGTTTCCCGACCAGACTCTGACCACCTCCAGCCCCAGTGAGCACTGAGGGAGAGGTTGACAGAGGGAAACAAGTTCAGGCTGTTGGGGGAATTAACATGATCTGGGGGGAAATTCAGTGCCTTCTGCTTTGACATCGCCTTTCTCCTTTCCCAATTAGTCTGGGAGGTCCTCAGCAGTCACAAAACTGTGTTCTGTCTTTGGATTTCACACGCATCATAAAAATCACCAGTAGTGGGTAAGATAGTTTTAGGCTTTTTATATTTATTAATTCATTTAATCTCTGTAACTATTCCATAATCTAGATTTTATTAGCCTTTTCCCCTTCTTTAAAAAATAAATAGAAAGTAAGGCACACGAAGACTAGATAACTCACATTAGGTAATTCAGATAGTTCTGAATTCAAGAATTCTCTTGAAGAGAATTCAAAGGAAGAAAGAGGGGAGGAAGGAAAGGAAGAGAGGGAGAGAAGAAAGAAGAAAGGGAGGGAAAATGTGAGACTGGAAAGGAAGGAGACAGAGAGGGGGGAGGAAGAAAAAAGGAATAAAGTCATTCATAGGCTGAGTGCTCAGGAGCAGGAGCTGGGGCGAGTTTCTCTCTGGGTCCAGGTGGCTAGCACCCAAGCCACAGATCTCAAGTGCAATAGAGAGGGGGAGATGTTGGGTTTTCTCATCCTCTTAACCATCGGAGTGCTGGTTATATAAGTATTTTTAAATCTGGTAATCCCTCATGCTTCTTTAACACTATAGTGGACCCTGAATCCCATAAATGCATGAATGTACAAAGTTATGATTTAACAAAAAATAATTAAAAAAAATAAATTAATTAAATTAAACTATAGTGGAAAGGACTGAAGCATCTGTGTGAATGACAGAATTCCTGTTCGTAACATAGCTTGCTTTGCGCGCTGTGTTAATGTCAAGTCTGGGTCTCTGTTAACTGGGAGCTTTAGACAGCACAGACGATGCTTGAGACTTGTTGCTTTTTCTCCAGTTGAACACTTACAGGTACCCCTTTCCTCCTCTGTAGTCCTCAGAACTCCTCCAGGCTTTATTCTGTGCTGTATTCTGTGAGTATAGCAGCCAAGAGTGCAGCCAAGAGTGCTGGGGCTGGAATCAGACATTTTTAGACACCATCAGCCTCAGTCACTCACCACTTGCCTGACTGCTGGGCAGGGCTCTGCTTCACTGGGGCCTCAGTTTCCAACCTTTATGCTGCCTGTGTAACAGAGGCCTTGTAAAGATAAACTAAAATGCAAAGAAAAGTATTTTGTTAATTGAAAAACACTTTACTTTAGATAAAACCTAAGGTATTATCTACTGTCTCATAGAAATATTGATCTTATTTCTGAAGAATCTACATTTCTTCCTTTTATTTTATTTTTGGGCTCTTCTACTTTGCTACCCATTATTTCTGAAAAAGGCTATATGCATTTGAGTGTCTTATAAACCATATTTGAAAGCAGGCAGTTTTCTTCCTGGTTATTTCCAATACATATTTCTGATGGATGCCTCTTTTTCTATTTATAGAAATATCCCAAAATGAAAAACATCAAAAATAACAAGATGCGATGGGAGCCACTTGAGCAGTGAACATAAAAGTTGCCTTGGAAAAGGAAGCCTAGCCTGAAGCTGAGAAATGACAATTCCCCAGAGAACTCCAGAAGAAACTCGACTGGCCACTACAAAGGAGAAAATAACCTTAAAAGTTTTATCAGATCAAACTCAAAGAGAAACCCATGATATGGAATTAGCATCATCTATTCTGTTGTGACAACATCCATATGTATCGTTTCATCGTTTTCTAGGAAATATTTATTTAATGTGAACAATTCTGTGGTTTTTATTTCCAGTACCAACAAGTAAGGTATTGAAAAGTAATTTTATATTTCAGGTTCTAGTAAAACTTATCTAAAATACGATGAAAGCCCTTCAAATACTTTCACTTTTTTTCAGAATTTGTTTGCTGTATTTTTAGTGTTACCATCATTCCTGCTAAGAACTAATGTAAGGAAAAATAATTGTATTTGAGAGTGATTTAAAAATTCCCAGGTTTCTTATCTAATTCCCTGGGGACGGTGGAAATAAGTTTGACTTCACGTTTTCAGTGTGTTTTATAAATATGTTGTAAATAAAGTGTTCCATTCCCAACAGCCAAAACCACGGAGAGTCATAGGAATTTTCCATAACTTTCTCCTCTATCCTCTAACCACCATGGTTCAAAACTGAAAATCACCAGAGTTCTATACTATATACCAGAGAACCCTTTAGATGGATGTGTATTAGGATTATAAGAAAATTATCTAGTTAATCATAATATTTTATGGAGAGAAAAAGGCAACAGAATTGGAATCAGCTATAATGGATTTGGTTGACTAGAAACCAAAGCAATTCGTAATTAGTGCTCTCACAGTTGCCCCATCCATAAAAATGACCTTAAGGGTTCTCACATTTTGATAAATTTTCTTATTTTTTATTAAGCATGCAGGAGCAATATTATTTTGCCTTGAACAAAATAAAGAGACAGAGAGGTTATCCGGTTAATGTTACACAGGAATTTAATGGTAAGCCTTGGACTTTGTCTGTAAGTCGTACTCTCTACTAAATGTAACTGTTAGCTACTCTCTCTTTATACTTATTTATGAGAATTTATGAGATTAAATTATGTGTTGATTTAGTACCAAAGACTTTCTGAAGATAGCAAATCATTGGACAACTTTTTACCGAAAAAATTACAGTTAGAGATCTTCAAGATCTTCGGACAGTGATTCTATTCTGAGTTAGCTTATTCCCCATTGCCTTTCATTTTCTTTTTAAGTGATGTCCAATGCCCTAAAGATTCTCTCGTGATTTGATCGTGATAATATCATTTGTTATCTACCATTTCTAAAATTGTTTGGCATGGTTTTGCTTTTATTTATTTTACCTTTTTGTACCCATAAGCATAAAAACTTTTCAAAGTTTACCCCCTCACATTTGATCATTGAAAGCCACAGACAATCCTAACTCAACCCACCAACCTTGGCAAACTGCATGATGGGTGCTCTTAGACTCCTAGAATTTGTGGGTTTTCAAATAATAATGAATACTTAATATTTTTTACTTGGTAGAGGATAACAATTAAATTTTTACTTTTGGTAAGTATAATTCTTTGATTAGAAAATTAAGAGAATGTATACTTATTTGAGTAGCAAATCAATAACTTTCTAATGGAAACCACATGTAACATTTTAAAATTAATATGTCCTTTTACATACTGTGCTTCTGGGAATCTTGATATTATGAAGTGTTAATAAATTTCATGGTCACTTATGGAAGATGTTGGAAGGTTAAAAATAAATTTTCTGATTTTTATTTGTATGTATTCTTTGCCATGTTTAACTGTGAAATAACCATTTTCTTATAACAAGGAAGCTAAAACAAACTTTACACAGAATTGAAATACATTCTTTACTACTAAAGAGGAGACTGCTTGTGTGAAAGAAACCAGAAGGAAAGATAATCCTCTTAGGAACACCACAGCCCTACACTGCTGAGCCCCATCACGTGACCAGATTTCACAGGTTGGTCAAGCTGCAGGGACGGGATCCCAGGCTGGGATGGTTCATGCTGTGCTCCTCCTCAGTGGCTCACTCTAGCACTGTGGTTCTTAACCTTCCTAGTGTCATGAGCCTTCAATACAGTTCCTCGTGTTGGGGTGACCCCCCAACCATAAAATTATTTTTGTTGCTACTTAGTAACTGTAATTTTGCTAGTTATGAATCATAATGTAAATATCTGCTAATGCGGGATGGTCTTAGGCAACCCCTATGAAAGGGTTGTTCGACCCCCAAAGGGGTTGTGATCCACAGGTCGAGAACTGCTGGTCTAGCAGTTTTGAGAAGCGGGATGGAAAGAGAGTGAAAAATGGAAAGAGGAAAGTTGTGATTTTTGAAATGGGCTGGCTCAACTCTAATAATGAGGATTTTAAAGTAAAGACGTTTTAAGATCGAAGTCAACATTAATGAAATGTCCAGATGTTTATCCAAGGTTTATGATTCAACTTACTTCTATAAGGAAAAGGATATGTAAAATTTGTGGAAAGAGTCAGAATAGGATCTAAATATATCCCAATAGGCTGTAATACTAAAACCAAAATCCAATAGAAATAAAAATAGAACTAGAAATCAAACTGTATTCTTTTGATTTTGCCATTAAATAGTTCCACAATTTTACCCCTTCTTGCTGCTTCCACTTCTACTCTTGTGGTCTGAGCTTCAATCATCTCTTTTGGATTATTACATTAACCCTGTAACCATTCCCTTCATTCCTGCCCTTGTTACCCGTACATCAATTCTTACTGCAGGAGCCAGAATGATCTCATTAAAACAGGCTATTATTACATGCCACCGTCACTTCTTGTCTCACTCTGAGTAAAAGCCAAATTCCCAAAATGAACTACAAAGTTCTGTACAGTCTGTTTCCCTCACCTCTGTGGCCTCTTCTCAGGCCCTAAATTCAAGTCTCACCGGCCTTTCCATTGCTCCTCTGCCACGCCAGGTCCCTGCCTGAAAGGCTTTTGCTCGCCTGGCAACACAGATCTTTCCTTCACTTCCAACACGTTCCCTTTTCAGTGCAGCCTGCCCTGAACACCCTATCTCAGGTTATAACCTCAGTCCCTCCAGGTCCTTCCCATCCCCTTCCATCTCCTTCTCTGTTTTAGATGTGTCCATAATAATTAATTCTATCTAACATACTATGTAATGTGCTGTGGAAAAGAAGGAAAACTTCTTCACTCCGGAAGCTCAACTCACAGTTAGGAAGATTAACATGAGAAATAGATCATAAATTTATTCACCATGCACACGGGGAGAATCAGAGTGACTATCCACTACTCCAGTCTGGTCCAGAAGTTTATATGCCGTCATTTTAGAGAGAAGAGGAGATGAAAAGACAGTAATTTTATTGAATGGCAATAAATGGTTAATAGGAAGGATGAACTAATACTTGGGAGAATGAATGGAGGGGGGGATAGACTGACTTATAAATGATTCTCTTTGGAAATTAAATTAAACTGAGAGACAGCTATTACTATCTTTAAAATGGCTGGGCCAGGTCTAGTTGCTTTCTTCTTTCCTGTAATATTTTGAGATAACAGAGAGGGGAGGGTAAAACAACTGCTCTTTTTGACAGGTCTGGTTTTTATGAAGATGGAAGGGAAAACTCTTTCCAGTGCTTTCTGATCTCTAAGGGACTTTAATTCAAAATACCATTTATATAAAGGAATCATATTTGGGGGCAAACTTTCATGAGCTAATTCAGGGTATTACTTTCTGTCTCCTTTATACTAGAGTGTAAACCTCAAAGCTTCGAGGACAAGTATCAAACATTTGGTAACAGTCTGTCAGCTGAACCTTAAAAATCCATTCCAATACTCAAAGGCCATCAGCTTCCAGAAAGTGTGGTATGTGACAGGACAAATAGATACCGTGGGTATGTCCTACTGTTGCAAATTTGCCCTAGTTACTATCTCTATAATTGCTACTCTAGAGTTGCATAGCTAGTGGTCATAAAGATTCTTATGGCAAATTGTGTCATTTGATCGGAGGTGATAGCATGTAGGATCTCATGTTGGGAGGACAGAAATTCTGTCCACTGGGAGAATTTTCCTTCACCACTGTTTTTCAGACCCACCACCAAGTGAGGCTCTAGTGCAACACTAGTCTATTCTGGGCCTCTACAATTTGCCAGCCTGATAGGTCCATGGATAAAACAGCTTATCAGCTACTTACAGAGAACCCACTGTGAGCTCTGAAAATGTGGGCTGAGTAAAACATGTAGGCAAAATAGGTAGATGACTTGAGTATCTGGTTTGCTCATCTGCACAGCTCATTTTTATCACCAGGACCTGCACAACTCCAGGCCCAGGCCCAGATGTGCCATTTCTATCTTATTATACAAGATACTGCAGCTGGGCTCACTTGATCTTATACTTTCATGGGTCTGATGGCAACCAGCACAGGAGCACAGCTTCAGTCATATGATAGTGCAATGTTCCATCATCATACATTCAGTCTCCACCAGGTCTCAGTTGTATGATGACAACTGCTTTTCAAAAGCTGTATAATTCTGTGATAAAATGTCATGGCTGTGTTCCAAGGGCTACATAATAATTAATTCTCCTTTTAAGACTAGTCCAGGATTTTATATACTACCTTTATCTACTATGTACCAATTTATCAGATATCTATCTATTGAGGGAAATCTTCCACTTTCTCCTGAAAGTGTGCAGAAAAATCAACTCACAATTAAGGCAGATTAATAAGAGAAAGAGGTTTATTCGCCCAATGCACAAGAATCTCAGAGTGATTACCCAATAACCCAATGGGATCCAGAAATGTATGTACCCTCCTTTTAGAGGAGGAGGGGAGATGGAATGTAGGTGGTTTCATTCAGGGGCAATACATGGTTTCCAAGGAGAATGAATAGATACTCGGAGAGTGAATGAATGAAGGGAAACAGATTGACTTATAAATTAGTGTGACAGACAGGTATTTATTTAAAAAGACTTGGGCCAGGTCTGGTTGCATTCTTGACCTTCTTTTCTGCAATATATTGAGATAACAGGGAGAAGAAAAATATTTTTTT